GCGGGCCCCCCAGCCTAGGGAGAGGTCGAGGGGCACCAGCCACACCCCGCCTTCCCTCAGAGCCCATGAGGCGGCCCCACCTCTCTCTGAGAAGCCCTGGACATCCTCTTCTTCAGCACTATCCAGGTCAAAGAGGTCCTTAAATTCCTTCCTGTCCTCGTCCTTCCTCTCTGTCACCTTTCTCCGCTTGATCTCTGGGAAGTTCAGGTCTTCCAGCTGGAAGGGTGGTCACCAGAGCGGCAGTGAGGTCGGCAGGAGCCGTGGCTGCGTCGCAGCAGGGGCCTGCAGCCGTGCCCGGCCCCCGCCGCCAGGGCCTGCCGGGCCACTTTCTAGCCACCCTGCTCCCAAATCTGGCAACGGGATGTGGACACTCAGCACACAGCCAGGGGCCACCTCGGGGCCTGCCCTTCCCCTCTATCGGGCCGTAGGCCGACCTGCATGATGAGGGCCGACTGCCCACTCCACTTCCCAGAGCTCCCGGCCCCCCAGACCCAAGCGTGGAGGCTGCCCCTCCCGGGGGCTTCTCTATCCCCTCTCCAAGCTGACTCACGGAGGCACAGGCAGCCCCACGCCCGACTGGCTGCATATGGGACACGTTCCCCTATCATCCCTGGGGCTGCCCCGAACCCTCAGCTGCCTGAGGGTCTCAAGCCACAGCCAGTCACTAGGCCCGAAGCCTAGGCGCCCCCAGCCTCACCCGCTCCTTGCCGCTGATCTCCAGCTGAATCTCCCGGTCCCTCAGCTTCCGCCAGTGGCTGTAGTACCTGGTCAGCGGGGTCCCCTCCACCCGCATCTGCCTCTCCCAGGCATCCTGGGACAGGGGGCCAGGGTTACACCTCATCCGGGGCTAACCCCACACCCTGCACACCGTAACAGGCACCCTCAGGCAGCACCACCCCTGGGCCCACTGACCACTGCCTGACAGTCAGACACGCCAAAGGAGACACCCTGGCGGCGGCAACAGATGTGCTCTGAGTTCTCCTGCAGTTTTGCAAGCAGCTGGTGCACCTGCCGGCAGTAGTTAGCCACCTTGCACTCACGGAGGAAGGACTTCAGCTGCAGAGGAGAGGGGGTTCAGCATGGCAGGATGTGGAGCCCTGCCCACTGCTGGCCCAGGGCCTATGCAAAACCGTGCATGGCAGCTGCATGATGACAGGAGGGGACATGGGACCCATCTGCCTCAGAGTCAGATGTACACATGCTGGGGCCAGGGTGGCGGAGGCAGAATCAGCCCACACCCAGGGCCAGCACTCCGGCTGCCGTCTCCATGAATAAAGCGTGGCCTCGCCCGCAGAGTTTCTCCAGCTGTTTGTGAGAAACCACTGACCTGCACAGCCTACAATGTTACTGTCTGGCCCTTCAACTAAACGCGTTTCCTGACTTCTACTCCAGACCTCAGCTCCTGGGACCTTGAGGCCAGAAGCAGAGGTGTCCCGACTGCCCAGCATTACCAGCCAAGACGACACAGGAGGGACAAAGACCACTACCCCACACAAGTGCATGACTGCATGTGACAGAGGACACGTGGACAGCTGTGTGTAAACGCCAGGAGCACACGTGCCACCCTGTGCACACACATGGCAACCGTTCACCCCCCTCCACCTCCGACCAGGTGTGGCTTCCTACAGGCCTGAGACTGGCAGAGCCAACCCCACCCACCAGGGCCCCACCCCTCTGTAAGACGAAGGCCTCCTGGATACGGGAGGACCCAGCATGAAGCCCCTACGCAGGAGAGGCTCTGTCCCCCGTGGACCCGGGACAGGACACCTCCTTGCAGCCCCCGTGCTTGCAGGGAGCCCAGCCCACCAGGAGTCAGTCAGTCTGGGAAAGCCACACACCTGCAGGACTGCGGGCAGCACCAGCTCGGGGAAGGCCACGCTGTGAGCCTGGCCCTGCAGGTACTCCAGTGTGAGGTCACACAGCTGCTCCACCAGGCCATCCTGAGGGTACCACTCTGTCAGGGAGGGGCAGGGGCCCCTCTGAGGAAAGACCCCGCCTCCCGGAAGGCACCCACCCTTAGGATCACTGGGGAGGGGATCAGAGACCTCAGCTGCCAGCCCTAGGCTACTGCGAGGTCCCTGCTTGGCCCTGCCAGCCTCGCCCTCCCCCTCAGCAGCCCCACGGCTGACGTGACCCGCTTAAGCTGCACCAGGGCCCTCCCAGGAGGCCCGGAGGCAGCCTTACCCGGTACGCCTTCTCCTGCAAGTTGACACTGGACAGCTTCAGGACCACAGAGAAGCTGATGGGCTTGGGGCTCATGCGCCCGGGCCGCCGGTTGAAGTCAACTTGCTGGAACACCTGCCCCAAGAGCCATGCCTCCTCAGCCAGCTGTGCCTGCCCTCGGGCCCCAGCACCAGGAGGCCCATCCGGAGACCACTCGTGGGGCTGGTCCTCCAGGACCCTCAGTGTCCCCTCCGACCCAGAGTGGCACCATGGTCGTTGGAGCAGGACCAGCATGGCCCTGCCCTCCAAGTCCTAAGGACCCATGCCTGGAGACCCAGAGGGTCCCTGTTCACAGAGCGCCACCAGACTCCTTTCCCAGTCACACGGCACCAAGGCTGTCCTGGCTCTCATGGCTCTCTTAGGCCATGACCAGTCGCCAGGCCCGAAGCCTAGGCACCTGCCAACCTCACCCACTCCCTGCCAGTCATGAAGCCGCATCCTGAGTGGCTGGAAGATGAACAAGAGAGGACAAGGCGTATGGGAAGGGAGAGGATAGAAAGCCAGGACAGCTTCCCCTCCCCCATGCTCTGCCACAGCCTTTCAGAGAAGCCCTACCCCAGTCCAGTGACGCTCCCCACCCACCATAAGACCCTCGCTCAGAGCTATACACCCTGGAAATAAAGGCAAGGTACATGCAGGATGCCGGGGGAAGCAGCTGCAGGCCCCGGCAGGAGACACCACACCACAAGGAGGGTGCTGGACAGTCGGGCTCAGCTCTCAATGGAAACAGCCCTGGCAGCAGTATATGAGAAAGTGCTCCCCTAGGGCAGCCTACCTACCTCCAGGATGAAGGGTAGGACTGGGACAAAGATCCCTGTGCTCTCCGAGAGTAGCGTCAGGGCACGGATGCAGTGCAGGCGCAGCGGATAGAAGCGCGCGGTGGGCACCAGCCTGGGGGGATGCGGGTGTGAGCAGAGGCCCCATCCTGGCAGCTCCCACACCCTACAGCCTCCTACCCCTCCCCACTCATAGGCTAGAGCCCTGGGAGGGGTCCACCAGTACGGTCCAGGGGAGCAGCAGCCCCCCACCCCACGGGAGGTGGTTCAAATCCCTCCTAGCAGGAACAATAAATCTCGCCCAAAAACCCACCTCCCTGCTCGACAATGAGGCTCTGAACCTAACTTCGCTGTAACAGGTGGGGTTCACTCTTCCTGTCCCCTCTCCTGCACCTCTACTCTCAGGCCCCTCCCCCGGCATCGCCAGCCCCCCTTCCGTCTCCCAGCGTCCTTCCTGCAAAGCTTCCAATGCTCAGGCAAACAGTGGTGCCCCCTATCGGCCAGAGACCACAGGGCACAGGCCAACATGGCAATCCCGCCTTCTGCTGCAGCTCCCTCTCCTGGACGTGCTCCATCCAAGGGCCCCATGCAATGAACCTGTGTTCTCCGCAGGCTTCACCAGGCCCCAGAGCACAAGTCTAAGACGCTCCAGGAGAGGCTCCTGTCATAGGTACCCACCAAGCCCAGCTACCCACGAGTCCAGAGCACCTGCCACATCGGGCCCGTGGACCCCAGCCCTTCCTCAAGCCTGCCAAGACACAGATCCAGGCTCCAGAGACAAGACACCAGGGTGCTGCCCAGACAGTCCCAGGCAACCTTTTCCTCCTGGCCCCCCAGGATGGCCCTATCCCCCCAACAACTCACTTGATGCAGCCAATGATAACCTGGGCCAGAGGGTAGACCAGGGGCTGGAGGGCATCGTTGGGGCACAGGACGCCCAGGACCCGACACCACAGGTGGAGGCAGTGCACATACTGCCAGTTGTACACAGACTGATACGTCTCCTGCCCAGAGCAGACCAGGCCTACCTTCACAGGCTGCCAGGCCAGCGGCAGCACCTGCCTCCCAAGTCGACCCCAGGACCCAGCCCCTCCCCACCAGAGCCACCAGCGGTCGCATCTCACCTTGCGCCCGGCCCCAGCCACCACCCCACTGCAAGGGTGGACCCACCAGGGGGCTGGGCCATCTCCCCAACAGACAGGGGCTGCAGAGTCCCCAGGCTCTGTGCTAGGCCGGGCTCCCCACCCAGGTTGCAGAGCCCGGGGTCCCGCGCACCTTCTTGCGGGTGGCCATGGCGTTGCGCAGGTGGATGGCCAGCTGGCGGATGTAGAGGAAGGCGTGCTGGTAGGCCACGCCCGGCTCCAGGGCGAGCAGCTCGGTCAGCGTCCGCTGCATGAAGCTGATGAGGGGCAGGGCACTGGGCGAGGTGAACTTGCAGTTCCTTACGTACGTGATGTACATGTGCTGCCAAGAGACAGCGTCAGAGTCCCTTGCCCAGGCCGTGCCTGCCCGCCACCCCCCAGCCCTGGTCCTTTCCGCAGGGCTGCCGCCTCAAGCAGGAGCCACAGCCCCTCCCCTCCATGCTGCCCACTCCTCGGGAGCCCACTCGGCTCCCACATGCAGCCAGGGGGCAGAGAGGGGAGGGTCTCTGGCGGGCTGGGGGTGGAGCTGCACAACAAGCACGGAGAGGACTGAGGGCCAGGAGGGGGTGAACCTCTGCTGCCCACCGGGCCTGTGAGGGCTCCTGAGGATCCCCACACAAAGGCCATGCTGCGCTGGGGCCCTGGCCATGGCCTTGGGTCCTGACTCCTCCCCACACCCAGCATCCTTGCCCACCCAGAGAGGCCCCTCCCTCAGGAGTTTTGCAAGCGTCCTGGTGGAGCCCAGGAGGCTGAAGGCTCCCATCCCTGCCAGCACTCCAACCTCCCTGCGAGAAAACTGCGATCCAAGGACCCAGGTCTGCCCACAGCTGCAGCGTGGGGCCCGACAAGAAGCACCAACCACAGAGGCAGCCTAACAAGCCCTCGGGCTGAGGCTTCCAACACAGAACCCAAGGGACACAGACGTGGGGCTCCAAGCTACCTTGAGAACAGGGCTTAGGAAGACATCCTTCTTATGCCGGCAGACTCGGGCAAGGACCAGGAAGGCCAGCACCCGCAGGGACTCCTCCCCAGTGCTCCAGATGACCACCATCCTCTGCAAAGAGCGGATGTCACTGCTGGTCCTGCCTCCTCACTCAGGACACCCCTAGAACCAACACAGCCCTCCCAGCCAGGCAGAGGTTCCTGGGTCCCTGCGGGAAACAGCCCCGCCAAAGTACTCCCGGGAAGTCACAAGAAGCTCAGCCAGAGAGAAACCGAAACAGAACAGAAAAGAGCACCAGAGACCTGCCTGTCATCACACATGCACGTGCTAATGGATGTTAGATTGCAAGGGTCGAGGGGCAGACCTCTCATCATGGTGGACCCACATGGACAGAGCTATGCTGCTTCACCAGGGGCAGGAACGGGGGGGGGGGGGGGGGGGGGGGGGGGGTGATGGGGAGGAACAGGAGTCAGGGGCGGGAGTGGCCCAGGCGCCACCTCTGCACTGGCTAGGGGTTAGATGAGTCTGTAAGCAGTTATGGCCCCGCCCCATGTCAGCAACACAGGGGCAGCTGGCCCACCTTGAGCAACATGCGGCACTGCTTGGGGAAGGTCAGATAGCAAGGCACCAGACAGCTGACGTGCCGCAGGACAGCTGCCAACACCGTTGCTTCCGCCAAACAGGTCACCAGCTGAGGGCAGGAGAAAATAGTGAGGCCCAGATCACGCGGGACTGGACCACTGGACACGGCTAGGCTCCCAAGACCCTGAGAGGAAGGAAGGACAAGGCCCCCACGCCCCTCCCACCAGAACAGCACCTGTGTGACGGAGCTCAGGTATGCCTTGATGTCCACGCGGAGCTTCCCCCAGAGCGGGCTGCTGGATGGATGCAGCGTCCTGCAGAGACCACCCTCTGCATCATGAGGCTGTCAACGTGTCCCAGCACATACAGTCCAGCGCCCACAACCCTGTGAGAGACCCACCTCTCTCCACAAAAAAGCTGCGGAGGTCCCCTTACAGGTGGACGGACACAACGGCTTATCAAGACCCTCTTGAGGGTAGCCCAGATGAATACCTTCAAAGGGCACCAGCCCCCCCCACTGGGTTTGAACTTCCGTCCTCCCCGTGCCCAAGGCTGGCCACCTCCCGAAAGCTCCCAGAGGGACTCCAAGCCTCCAGCTATTCCCTCAGCCATAAACCTCTTCTAGGTCCCCTGCACCTTGTCTCCACCGTGGAGCCATGTAAAGCCTCCAAACCCTGCAGTGAGTACTCAAAGGCTTTGGAGTCTAACCCAGGCACTACTAACTGCTACGTGCTAAGTTTCTTTGGCCTACACTTGCTGCTAAAAAACAAAAAGACGGCACTTTGGGAAGCCAAGGTGAGGGGATTACCTAAGCCCATGGATTCGAGCACACCTTGGACCACTTGGTGAGACCTCATATCTACAATAAATCAAAAAATTAGCCAGGAATGGTAGTGCGTGCCTGTAGTTCTGGCTACTTAAAAGGCTGGGGCTGAAGATCACCTGACCACAACAGGTCAACACTGGGGTGGCTGTGAGTGTGCCACTGCACACTAGGCTGGGCGACAGAGAGGGACTCCAACTCAAAAGAAATAAAAAATAAACAAAAACAGAATCTTCCACAACTATAAACTTGGCATCACTGAAAACTCCAGACTCTCAACTCCTTTTGTAAACTCGGACCACCTAAAACAGTGGTTGACGCTGAGAGTCCCGTGAATTTCTTTTTGTGTTTTTGAGTTGGAGTCTCACTGTGTCGCCCAGACTGGAGTGCAGTGGCCGCTCCCGGCCACCAGAGCCTCCACCTGCTGGATTCCGGCAATCCTTCCGCCTCAGTCTTCCAAGTAGCTGGAACTACAGGCGCACGCTACCACGCCCGGCTGATTTTTTCATTTATTGTAGAGATGAGCTCTCGCCAAGTTGCCCAGACGGGTCTCGAACCCATGGGCTCAGGCAATCCACTCACCTCAGCCTCTCAAAGTGCAAGACTACAGGCTGAGTCACCGAGCCCAGCTCTGTGAGTTTCTTGAAAGCGCTACCCTCAGTGTTCACAGAATTCAGCAGCTGCTTACTAAAAGGTATTGAAACCCATGAAGAACAAAGGCAGGGGCCACAGAAAGTCTCCCATTCTTGACCATCTTGCCCAACACCTGGGCCAACACCAGTCACCCAGGCCCAAGGTGTCAGTTTCCCAAGCCCACCAGCTCCTTCACTGCACTTCTCCCTGCTCTGCTGCCTCAGTTGGGAGGCCTCACCTGGCTGCTGAGCCCCACTCGAATCCAGGTGCTTGCTGTCCACCCAATCGCTTCCTGTTCCTCTACCCCCGTTAGCCGACCTATCCCCTCCAGACAGCACCGCTCTCTGCTGACCCACCTGGAAGCCCTGACCATGACCTCCGACTACAAGTGCCCCGTTTCTGGGGCCACTGCTCCCGCCTCCGCCTCCACCTCCCCTCCAGGTGCTGACAGTGAAATCTCCCCCGCGACCTCCCTTCTTCCTCTAAAAGGTGTCCTGGGGCAGGCTCGACCTCTAGGCCCTCACTCCCTCGAGGCCACATGGCTGCACGACCCCCACGTGATCCACACTCTATCTAGCACTCTGCTGTGCTACATTCTTCTCTGTAGACCTTCCGTGGCCTTCTCTGGCTAATCTTCCTCGAAACTGGAAGCTGAGCCTCAGGCCCAGCATGGGTGAGGCCCCTGCATCCAGACATAAACAGCACCTGAAGCAAGCCAGTCACAATGCCAAGATCAAGGGGCAAGCGCAAGACTGACATGTCCAGAGAGGAAGGAGATATAACCTTGACCTGGAAAACCTCGAGAGCAAAGCCAGGCACATACCCCACACTCCCTGAGAAACTCAGAGCAGAGAAGGGAAGGAAAAGGGAAAGGAAACAAGGCCACCCAATCGGCCCTGAGTGTCCCGCCTCTCTCCCGGGTCCCTCATGCCCCTGCCCTCTCAAGGGCCCCACAAGAGCCGGGCTCTGCCCCACCAGGCCTCTGTCCTGGCTAGGTCTAGTCCACAAGGCCTCTGCCTTCTCCAGGGCAAGGCCCTGACCATGCAATCCATCCCACCTCCTCCAATCCCCTCTCTCTCACCTACTGCTGTCTTTTGGTGTCTTTCCAAACAGCAACTTCCGGAGACAGCCAAAGAGGTCTCTGATGCAGAAAGTGACCAGAGCATTGAACACTGCAACAATAGGGTCGAGAATAACTTACAAGACAGAGAACACAGCAGAGCCTCACCCCAGGTATCCTCGCCCTGGCTCACCAGCACTGTCTGTGACCTGGAATTTGCAGTCCTCGGCACTTTCCTGATCTCCTTGGATGGTGGCCACAGCTCCACGGAATGCCTGCACAACCTCATGGAACAGCTTTGGAGTGAGGTGCTGCTGGAGACACAAAAACAGGAATGTTGGTTGGTGCAGCCAAGCATAGGGTCGGGAGGGGGATCCTTACCCATCCTCAGACACGGGACAGGGTCATGGAATCACGTACTGGCCACAAACATAAAGCTAAAGCCTGAAATCTTCCCAGGAGGGAAAAGAGTCTATCTCAGAAGCCCCAGGTGAAGGGCTGAAAGCTCCCAGATCCTGGGCCACGGCCAGCTCCACACCAGGAACTCTCTCTTCTTGTCCTTTTCCCCATGGAAACCACTGAGAGTCTCACAAGGACCCTGGTTTCACCAACAAAGTAACAGACGCTACACCCCACCCACAAAAGACTAACTCTGAGTAGCAGAGAACTCCAGAGAAACACTGACATGGAGTAGGCAACGGTCCAGAGTTTGCTCAGACGAGACGGATTTGTACGAGAGTGCACAGTCCTGCGGCAACTAAGAGCGCAGGGAGAACTACAGGCAGCTGTTTTGTGTTGAACGGGACTCCAGGGGCCCGGGGCCTGCTCCATGCAACTGCTCACCTTCACCGCCCGCTTCCACCTCTCAACCATGGCAAGGGTCACAGGAACAGAATCCCTCTTCTTCTTCAGCCCTATGGGGACGCCATCCTCTCCACCCTCTGCTCCATCCTCCTCCTCACTTGCTTCCTGAAAAAAACAGAGGAGCCGAGCTTGGGCAGGGGGTAGAGGCCACAAGCACACAGCTTCCGGTTCTGTCCAAGTTCTCACCTCCAGTGCATCTGGCAGGGTGTGAAACTGCTCCTCCTCGTCCTCAGAACTGTCTGAGTCGCTGAAGTTAAGCAGGCTCTGGTCGTTCTCCTGCAGGAACTTGTAGAACTCAGGGTCTTTGTCCTTCAGTCGAGAAAGTTGGCTCTTGTGCTCAGAGGCACAGCCTTTCCGCCAGCTGAGAAGGTAGAAGGCAGCAAACCCAGTGGAAAACCCATGGGGGCCCAGGGGTGCTTCTTGTCCCCCAACCCTGCTAGCTTGCTGGCCTCCCCAGAGAAGCTAAAGAGGATTAGTCGGCTCCATCCACAACAGCCAACGACAATCAAGGCACGAGGATCTCCAGCAGGTAATTCTTTGTGGTGTGTTTTTGTTTTTTTTGAGTTGGAGTCTCACTCGGTCGCCCAGACTGGAGTGCAGTGGCCGCTCCCGGCCACCACAGCCCCGACCCGCTGGGCTCCGGCGATCCTTCTGCCTCAGCCTTCCGAGTAGCCGGAATTACAGGCGTGCACTACCACGCCCGGCTCATTTTTTGATTTATTGAAGAGATGAGGTCTCGCTACCCAGCCGGGTCTCGAACCCACGGGCTCAGGCAATTCACTCACCTCAGCCTCTCAAAGGCGCAGGATTACAGGCTGAGCCACCGAGCCCAGCTCAGTAGGTAATTCTTGACAGATCCATCTCTCTTTCAGATGCACACACCTGACGGTCTCTCTACAATACATCTTGACGCACGCATCTCAGGCTGGACACGTGACACCCAGTTGTGGTATCCCCAGAGTTGCTGGGTCTGCGCCATGCTCTACCTCAGCTGCTGGCAACACAGACCTTCCGAGTGTTCACACGAGAGGCAGGCCTGTCTCACGCAACCCGACATCGAATCGCTTCAGCAACACCTCCTAAACCTCTCACGCCTTCCCTCCAGCCATCACGTCCTTCACTCTGTTGACACACAGGCTTCTTCTCTCTTCCCAGCCCCGTCACCTCCAGCCTAGTCCCAGCACAGCGACCCCAGAGACCCTTGTGTTACATGTCACACGATGTCGCTCCACTTCTCCAACCCCGAAATAACCTCCCGTGTTACCAAGAGATCTCGGGATGCTCTACAAAACCTGCCCCTCATCCTCGTTCTGGCCTCAGCTCCCCGCACTCAGCCCTCCTCTCCTGCCACAGCCACACTCGCCTGCTTGCTGACCCTCGACACCCCCACTTCGCGGCCTTCGCTGTTC